GGCGGTGATGAAGACAAGTGGTCTTCATGACTTCTTGTTTTGAGTCGGGAGCCAGAGGTCAGCTGGGGCAACAACTCCTGGCTGGGCCCAGTCATCTGGGCCACGTGTAATGGTAGCTTGCCCTGCAGCAGTCTCTCTGCTCCTCGTGGGCACTGGCTCCATGTGGGCGTTCTGGAGGCACTGCTGGGCCTCCCTGTGGTGCCCACTCTGCTGCAGCCCGGTTCCCGGTTATCACTGCTTCCCCTCTCCAGGCGTGGTCAGCAGCCATTCTCAGGGGTCCCTGTGTGTGCAGAGGGGCAGCATGATGACAAGCAGCCCTCAGCATCAGGGCTTCACCAGCTCGGTTGGGCGCTGTCTTTCCCCTCAGCCACCCTCACCCATGGCATGCAGCAGCCACACCTCCGCCTTGTGCTGCAGAGGCCGGCAGCTTCCACGGCTCCCCGTGCCACTGTGTGTCATCAGTTGGGTGACAGCACATCCTGGCTTGCCTGGGACAGCCCCCCCAGGTCCACTTGATGGTCCCAACATAGCTATTATGCCCTTTCACTCTCAATAATGTCCTAATATAAACGTCCTTCAAGAAGCTTGCGGAAAATGCAATTACAAGATAAAAAACATGTATATTGATGTGAGAAATTTTGGACACCCACGCACAGCATCATCTTTTTTTCTAAGATGTATTCATTTGTTTGAAAAAAGGAGTTTCAGAGAAGCAGAGAGAGAGAGAGAGAGAGAGAGAGAGATCTTCCATCCACTGGTTTATTCCCCAAATGGCTACAACAGCTGGGACTTGAACTGGCACCCATGTGGGATGCTGTCACTACAGGCGGTGGCTTTATCCGCTATGCCACAGCCCCAGCCCCACACAGTATCTTCTAACACACATTGTCCGTGAATTTTGTGTGTGCAGTAAAACCGTGAGGTCTTGTTTCCGGAAGGCCTGGATGTGGGAGGAGCTGCTGTGTGGGGTGTGGCAGCCCCTCCTTCGTGGCCAGGACCGTGACTGTCCTCCTCTCCTCCTTGTCCCTTACCTCGGCAGGTGAGTCGCTGCCCTTGGCTACCTCCAATCAAGTGCTCATCAAGTTCAGTGCCAAAGGCCAAGTACCAGCCAGAGGCTTCCACTTTGTCTACCAAGGTATGTGGCACGTTGGGTCCCAACGTAGTCATGGAGGGAACAGGTGCCTTTGACCCTAGTCTGAGCCTCTTCCTCTGTGTTTGGGGACAATTGCTGGTTTGTGAGGCGCATCCCTGAAATTCAGTTGAATTTAGTCTGTTCCCTTAGCCAATAGACATTTCTTAGACCAAGCTCTGTGGAATGAGCAAGGAAACCAGACCCAGGAAACCAGTCTCCGCCCCCACACCCACCCCTCCATGTTCCAGTGGAGCCCAGATGGCCTTGGAGTGAGCAGCCCAGGCCTCTTACCGGGACTGTCTCCCCTGGAAGCTTTGTTTGGTCTACGAGGTGCAGAAAAAGTGTAGGTCAAGGAAGGGGTCCAGCATCCGATGGGCGTGGATTTGAACTCCAGCCCCACCACTTTCCAGCTGGGCCCTGCTGCTCCACGTCCTGGAGCCCCAGTTTTCCCACCTGTAAGATGGGGGATGGGGAGTAATAGCACCACACCGACAGGATTAAAAGAGAATGCACAGAGTACCCGGTAGCAAGCAGGTCATGAGCCTGTGTTGCCATCCTTACTGGCCCAGAAAGGCGACGTCTTAGTGCTCCTGGTGTCCAGGTGCAGGCCCCAACCTCCAGGGGTCCAGAGGACGTCCATCTTCATGGAGCCCAGGTTCCAAGCACAGTCCTGTTCATTCTACTCTGCCCAGGGTGGACTTCCCTGTGGGGCACCATCTCTGAGCCTGGGTGACAGGGTCCCCTCAGCCACTGCAGGGGTCAGGGAGGACACGGGAGATTCAGAGAGAGCAGAGCCCAGGACATGGTGTTAAGATCCACAGGGAGGAGAGGCCAGAGGCAGGGTGGAGGTGCTGGGAGCCGAGAAGAAAGCCCATCCTCCTGTTAGGGAATGGGGTCCCTGATGGACCAGGTGCGTCACACTACCACAGCAACCACTCCATGGCTCCAGAAGCTGTGCATCCAAGCTGAGTTCCAGTACAGTGGGCCCCATCCAGAGAGCCCCGCCCCCTGCCCCAAGGGAAGTGCCCAGAGTCTCCCAGGCTCCCTGCAGACTGTCTTTGCTCCAGTCCCATCGTCTGCATCCCTGGGCCAGCTTCTAGAGGGATGCGGCCCACCCCTCAGTGCCCTTGTCCCCTGCAGCCGTGCCCCGGACCAGCGCCACGCAGTGCAGCTCTGTGCCGGAACCCCGCTACGGCAAGAGGCTGGGCAGTGACTTCTCCGTGGGCGCCGTCGTCCGCTTCGAATGCAATTCCGGTTATGCCCTGCAGGGGTCCCAAGAAATCGAGTGCCTCCCTGTGCCAGGGGCCTTGGCCCAGTGGAATGTCTCAGCACCCACGTGTGTGGGTGAGTACCGGGACAGCCAGGGCCAGGTGAGGGAAGGCAGTGAGTGGGGGCACTGACAGCCCCTTCTCCCTGGGGGAGGCGGCAGGCCCAGCAGATGCCTACAGGCGCATGGCAGCCCCTTGCCAGCTGTGGGGCATAGGCAGGCTGTCCCATAGTCCTGAGGCTGGGTGTGAGAGCAGCAAGGAGGAGTAACTAGGGGGTATTGGGGCAGGCATGCCTGGGGCCTGGTCCCTGAGGCGGGGTGTAGGGGGACCAGTCCTTGGTGGAAGCCAGAGCCAGAACAAAAAAGTGTTCCTGGGGACACGAAGAAGCAAACCAGCATGGAGAAGTCCCAGGCAGAGGCTGGGGGCCCTGAGGGAGGAGCCTGTGCGGGGAGCCCTGGGGTCCAGTGGGAGGAGCCTCTGACCATGGCTGCGTCCCCTCCCAGTGCCGTGCGGAGGCAACCTCACAGAGCGCAGGGGCACCATCCTGTCCCCCGGCTTCCCGGAGCCCTACCTCAACAGCCTCAACTGTGTGTGGAAGATCATGGTCCCTGAAGGTGCTGGCATCCAGGTAGGGGCACGCGGGCACCTCAGGCTGGCAGGTGCTAGGCTAGGCCCTGCCCCTGTGGCCCGCACACAGGGGCACGGGGAGGGGCCAGGCAGCTTGGGAAGCAGGACAAGTGGGCACTGGCTGGGCCGCTGGGAAGGCAGAGAGAAGACAGTAGCCTGCACCTGGGATAGGAAGTGGGAGGACTCAGATGTTCTCCAAATGGCTGAGGGCTTTTCCTTAGGACTGAAGAGGGTAGAGAGGGAGACCGCAGATGAAGGCTTGGAGGAGAAGGAACAAAGTGCCCGGCACACCCAGCCAGAGCCCAGATGCTGAATGGGAGGCATGACCAGCGCCCAGGGCCAAGGGCCAAGCGAAGGGGGCGCCAACTTGGGGCAGAGGCTTGGAGGAGGGGCGGGAGCCTGCAGGCCAGCAGAGGCAGCAGGCTGGGGCTGGGGCTGGGGCTGTGGCTGCGGCTGGGGCTGCACTGGCCTGGCTGGGGGTGGGCGGCTGGCTCCATGCTGCAAGACATCTCCTGCAACCAAGTCAGGAAAGGGAGGAGCCCACAGAATGTTCCAGAGAGGAGGGGGAAGTCAGACCACAGTAATCCCAGTGCCTGAGTTTAGCCATTTATTTCACACCTGGACAGAGCGCTCCTCGGAGGTAGGGACTACATCTTACATTGTCTAAGAGGCATAGCTCAGTGTCAGGCCGGAGTGGCTGCAGAGTAAAATTAAACTCACAGTGGGGATGGAAGGAGCGGGGGGAGGAGGAGGGAGGAGGAGGGAGGAGGAAAAAAACAGGGGAGAAGAGGGGATGGAGACAGGCAGAGAAAGGCCGGTGACTCGGGCTGCATAACCCACACTTCAGTCCTTCTGCCTTCCCAGATCCAAGTCATCAGTTTTGTCACAGAGCAGAACTGGGACTCCCTGGAAGTGTTTGATGGTGCGGACAACACGGTCACCATGCTGGGGAGTTTCTCAGGTAAGGCGGGGCTTCCAGGGCCATCAGAGGTGGATATGAGCATCCTTATTATGATCAAGATAGAACTCATGTATCATGAAACTTGCTGTTGTAACGTACATATGCCATTGGTGGTTAGTACAGTCACAGGGTCCCACAAGTGTCACTGCTGTCTAATCCCAGGACATTTTGATCACCCCAAAAAAAACTAGGGACCCATTTGCACTCAGCTCCCATTCCCACCCCCACCCCAGTCCTTGACAGCCACTCCTTTACCTTCTAGCCCCATGGGCTGGCCTGGCCTGGGCATTTGACGTGAAAGGACTCATACTTTATGTGGCCTTCCGTGTCTGCCTTCTTGCACTTGGCACGTGTTCAAGGTCGACCACCTTGTCAGGTGGACTGGCCCTTGTTTGGATGGGGACTCAGTATTTTGTTTATCCACTCAGTGTGTGGTACATGGGTTGTTCCACTTTGGGCAGATTATGAACAATGCTGGCATGAACATTGAGAGGTTTTGTGGGATGTACGCTGTCCGTTATCTTGGGTGTCCGCCTAGGAAGGGCTCGCTGAGTCCTGCAGTAGCTGTGTTTAGCTGTCTGGGGCATGGCCAGTCTGTTTTCCAAAGTGGGCACAGCTTCATCTCTTTCAGTGGGGGCTTCCCACAGAGTGTGGGGCCCAGAATCCTATGTTACCAAGACATCAGAAGTGGGATCCATGCTCCCCCCAAGTAATCTGTCTATCATGCTGACTTGCCCAGATGACTGGACGTGTCAGGGCCATTTTGACGATGCCTTGGCAGGGCCACCGAGGAACTCCCCACCTGCGGATCTGCAGCTATGGCCCTGCTCATCCTGCAGGAAGTGGTTTGGAGTCCACCTTCCCTGAAACCCAGCGCTCTAAGGGGTGCTAATTTACCGTTCAGTGTCTTCAACCATGGGGGCCCCCCTGGGGGTCTCGGTGGGAGGACATCGGCAAAAGCAGTAGGACTTCAGGGTTGGGGGCTGTGGGGAGACTCAGCCTAAATGACCCTGGTTTCTTTGCCAGGGACAACCGTGCCTGCCCTTCTGAACAGCACCTCCAACCAGCTCTACCTTCACTTCTACTCCGACATCAGCGTATCTGCGGCCGGCTTTCACCTGGAGTACAAAAGTGAGAATCCAGAGTCTTGGCTGTGTGGGGGGGGATCTGGGTGGGTACCCACAGCTGCTGGGTAGCCCCTGGGGCTGCATACTCTCCACCCCACATAAGCCTTGCACAGACCTGCACAGCCAAGACGCATGGCAGAGCCGAGCTTTGCCAAGTGGAACCTGTGTGTTTCCTGTGTATCCCCATCGGCACAGGGCAGGAGGCTGGGTCACAGACCAGGGCCCCAGGACATATCCTGGGATGTAAGTAAGTGGCAGGGTTTTCGTCTTCCAGTTCTGGAGATGGGTCTCTAACCCCTGGCTCTGTGATGCAGTTGTCTTTGAAAGTGCTCGCCCCCCACCCCAGAAACTTCATTCCCTGTCTACCAGATCGCTCCCTTCCAGACTCAAACCCTTACACCCCGGCCTCCAGCATCCTTACGAGGTCATGGTTAAAGCTCTCAGCAAGAAACGCATGGTGGGCGTGCCTCCTGAGGAGCAAAGAACGAGGTTCTTGGGGAGACTGCTGGAGTCCTGGGACCCCCCTCCCTACTGGGCATAGGAGAGAGTAGGTAGGCAGCAGCATCTGTGACACCTTCGTGCAGCAAACACAGAGCATTTGCAACCTGCCAGGTGCTATGCTGGTTTTTGCTAGGATTGGGTAAGATCAGGATGGTTGGTATCCCCGGAGCCCACTGGAGAGAGGCAGACACGTGGACAGGGCAGTGCAGGGTAGCGCAGAAGATGCTCTCGTGGATGTCTCTAGAAGACGGAGCTGCGGCTCTACGGAGCCAGGTGGAGAAGTGAATGTGGAGGAGAAACTTGGAGTGCCTGCGAGTGGCGAGCCCTAATAGGTCCCTACAGAACCAAGATGAATAAGACACGGTCCCTGCCTTCAAAAGCACACAGCGTAGGGAGAGAGGTGGATCTGCAAACGGGCACTTCAGTGAAGCCAGATATGCTAGGGAGGTACAGAGCTAAACCCGGCCAGGCAGGCCTTGTGGAAGGGGAAGGCCTGAGTCAGGCTTGCAAAGAGCAGTCAGAAACACAGGAAGGCATGGGCATGTGGGACAACATGGCCTGTGCAGAGATAGCCCCAGGGGGTGGCTAGAAGCCTGGTGGGGTCAGCCCCAGATCCTACACAGGTGCCCACCTGGCTCACCCACATAAGTGGACTTCATCTAGGTGGTTGGGCAAGGCTTACCTGGATCCTAGGATGCTCCTCTCTGAAAGAACTAAAAAACTTAGCTTGAAGCAAAGACCCAGAGGGGCGCTGGACAGGGCTGGGACCCCAGACCTTCCCCTCTGCAGACAGCCGAGGCGTCACTCACCTGGAGGAGGAGTAGCCAGGTTTCTTGAATAATTCACACTGTCCCTTTTACCCTCTTCTCTCTTCTCCCAAGTTGTGTGTCTTCATCTAGTATTTTGAGTCTGTAAGTGGTCCCTGGAGTCACCTTTGTTCTTTCTTCTTCAGAGATTCATTTCTTCCCTAAATCACTCACTCACTGTGCTTCGTGCCCAGCAAAACGCCCCTGTCTGTGTGCAAGGGAGCTGGCCGTTGTCTCAGGAGCAGATGCTGCTCATCGCTGTCCTCTCGTGCTGGGACCTGGGAGGGAAGACAGCCCCCATGGTCTTTGCAGACTGGAATTCCTGGGAGCCAGGCCCCTGCACTCGTAGTCTGTCTTGCAGCTAATCTGCCAAGGGGGTGAGGAAGATGAAGAATTAGCTGCTTCGGTAGAGGGCAGTGGCTTCGCGGAGTGCTGTAAAGTCACATCCACAGCCATGACTCACGCTTAATTTCCATTTAATTGAAATGGAAATGGAACAATATGCTTTCAAAAGTAATAAATTACATATGATAAAAAATCATTGTCCCTCTGTTGAAGCATGGCTTAAATAAAATCAGGCCGTGCGGTGTTAGAGAAATTGCAGTGGCCCTTCCGCCTCCCTCCTGCTTTGTTCTGGTTCTCTCTGCCCATCCCTCCCTTCCCAGTAAGAGGTCTCAAGTTCTGAAGCTGTGAGCAGCCCGTGGGGGCTGGGCCACATTCTTCTTGAAGCATGGGGAGGGACAGGGAGAAAGAGACAGGAGGCCCCTCAGGACGAGGCCCTGCAAATGCACTCTGGTGATCTTTCTGTCCTTGGCCTTGGCCTTTGTCTCAGCTGCTGGGATATTAGGACATGGGCCCCCAGATGGCCTGCATTTCCAAGCTTCCCCTTCACATGCAGGTCGGGAATTGCCTGCACTGGGAAGGGTGTGAGGGGGTTTTCTGGAGCGACTGCAATGCTCTGTAGTTTTGACAGGGGTTTGGGTGACACAGGTGCCAGCTTGTGTCAACACTCAGCACAGGTGCACGCTTCCAGTCATGACAGCGTAAACGCGGACATTTCATGCGTTTCATTGTATGTAAGTTCCTCTCTGAAGAAACAGAAAGCCCAGGTAGTTATCAGAGCCTCCTGAATGGACGACCGCCCAGCTGCTGCATGGAAGAGGGGCTGGGGCTGGGAGCTGAGGCTCACGGGTCCTTCCTCACTCCTTTCCACAAGCACTCGGCTCCCTGCAGGTGCATGGGGTCCCAGGCAGCCTGGATCTCCGAAGGCAGCCACCCGGAGGGCAGAGTCTGAACTGACCCAGACTCCTTGGGCCATCCCCAAGTGCCTAGAGTGAGACCTGGCTACAGTTAGCTCCCTGCCCTCCTCTCCCTTCTGCTGTCCTTGCTCTTGGTGGGGAAGGCAGGGTACAGCCACACCTTGAGCCCTCCAGCCCTCGCCAAGTCCACTCCAACACACGGAGATTTACTTGGTGTCTTTTAAGGGCCTGCACCTGCAGATGCACTCCCTCGGGGCATGGGAGAAGCACAGAGGCTGCCCATCAGGAGATGCCACACTTCTACCTGCTGCCTGGGAGTCAGCCAGGACAGGGTTCAAAGCAGGGCGAGGACGATCTCAGGAGAGGAGGCGAGAGCCACAGTGGACAGGGGCGAGCATGAGCTCATGTGGCCTCAGCCCTTGTCCTCCTGTTGGGCAGAGCTGGGGTCAAATTGGGCGTGGTCTGAATCTTGGCTCTGTGGCTTACGTAGTTCTCAGGCCAGTCCTCCCCTATGGTATTGAGTGACATGGCCCGCGGCGAGGGGAGGAGGGGACGTGTGGCCCCACAGGCCCCGTCCTGCTCATGGGACGTGCTGGGCATGTGCTGTGCCCGTGTGGAAGGCCTGAGCAGAAAGGAGGAGGAGGAGGAGGAGGAAGGCCGAGGAAATCGTGTGCAATGCTGGGTGTATAAGGAGAGCGGGGTCAGCACCGTTTGAAGTGCAAAAATCAAGAAGTAGGAGCCCACGGAGGTGAGGCTGGAAGGGCCCCTGCTAGGGTCGTGAAGGCTCTGGATGAGCAGGGTGGACTCCCTGTGATGGCCGAGTGGTGGCCTAGGGAGTGCTCTGGCGCAGGGGGACAGGCTCAGCAGGCCCAGCTGCCAGTGAGGGTGGGGTGGTTGGAGCAGCCCGGGGGGTGGGTAGGGAATGAGAGGGGGCAGTGCTGATCGTGGGAGGCAGAGCTCAAGGAGCCACTGGCTGCTCCCTGACCGGAGCTGGCCTGACCTTGAAAACACAGCAGGAGAAATTTGGCAAACTGCCTCGGGACCACTTGCACTGGCCTGTGGGCTCAGCCTGAGCCCCTGAGCATCGCTGAGGCACATCTGGGAGAGGTGCCCTCCTCCTGCCTCTCCCCCTGTGTCTTCACTCTTGGGATCTGTCCGCAGGGTGCAGGAGAGGGAGGGTGCTGGGAGGGGCTCACGGAGACAGTGCTGAGGTGTTTGGCCTGGGGCTGGGGTGCCTCCTGGCCCCGAGCTCAGCAGGTGGACCGGGCAGCCAGAGGCCCCTGGAGGACGCCTTCCTGCCCCAGGGATCTCGAGTCTGCAGAGCCTCGGTGCTGTCTGTGTGTGTGTGCATTAGTCCTTTCCTTCTTTACTATAATGGAGTGCCCGGGGCAGGCTGCTCACAAAGAAAAAGTCGTATGTTGTTCACAGTTTGGAAGGTTCAAGGGCATGACGCTAGCATCAGCCCAGCTCTAGTAAGGGTCCTCCTGGCTGTGTCATGTCAAGGTGACGCCAAGGGTGGAAGTGAGAGGGGCAGGGCGGGCTCAGGGTTTTAGAACAGTGACAGGAGAAACACCTTCATCTCTTTCCAGGGCACACCCCCAGCTGACCCAGGACCTCTCACTAGGCTCCGCCTCCCAGTGCCACCACCCTGGAGCCCACGGTCCCAACACACGGACCCCTGGGGGACAAACACAGCCAACCGTAGCAGTGTTGTGCCATGGGCAGCCCCAGCCCCGGGGCCGGGAGCTTCTCCCCACTGCCTCGGCCTCGGGGCATTGCCATTCTCCCTTCACTCTCTCTCTGCCTTGTCTAGCCGTGGGCCTGAGCAGCTGTCCAGAACCCGCTGTGCCCAGTAACGGGGTGAAGAGCGGCGAGCGCTACCTGGTGAATGACGTGGTCTCTTTCCAGTGCGAGCCGGGCTATGCCCTCCAGGTACCTCCCCCTCCAGACACCCCCAGGGCAGGAAGCAGGTGTCCCCTGGGATGCAGTTGGCCAGCCTTGCACCAGCAAATCCTCAAAGACCAGGGAACAGACCCCAACCTTCCAGGGGCCCACCATCCCCTCCTGGAGCTGTTCATGCAAAAGAGAAACTTGGCTGGCCTCGAAGAGTTGGCAGAAGCCCACCTCAGAAGGGCTCCTGCAGAGTTGGATGTGATTGGACCCTAGGAAAATTTAATTTTCTTTGAAGGTCATGAGGGAATTTCGTAATTAAAGAAATCTCACAAGGAAACCTTCAGTAATGAGAATTCCTTGGTAATGGTTGTGAGTGATTGTCCTGCCCAGCCCTCTCCCTCTGCTTTAGCTCCCAGCGCGTCCGGGTGCCTTTGTGTCTCTTGTTCCTCAACACGAAGTCCCGAGCAAGGCCCTGGTCCAGGCTGTATGTGGGGTTGTGCCGGTGGGCAGCTTAGCTCATCCCTGTTCCTGACGCCCCCAGGGCCACGCGCACATCTCCTGCATGCCGGGGACCGTTCGGCGCTGGAACTACCCTCCTCCGCTCTGCATTGGTAAGACAGCCGGGACCCGCATCCACTCAAACCCACGCCCCCAGGACTTTGAGCTCAGTAGCCTATGTGGAGTTCAAGTCCAAGTCGATCTGTTGCAAGTCAGTCCTTGGAGACCCCTGTTTTTGTTGTCACTCAAGGCTGTCGTGACTTGGAGACCTCTGCCCACAGGCTTGCCCAGTGGAAAACATCCTAGTGACTGTTCTGGTTCCAGATAATGCCCAGGTCCCAAGTGGGGTTACCAGGGACTTGGGGCTTCTGACTTTCTGTGAGACTGAAAAGATGCAGCAGCAACAGTAAAAGGCTGAGGGTTCTGGGTGAACTTGGCTTGGCTTTGTGTCCTAGCCTTGCTGAGCAGTGATGATGAGATCAGTGGAAACAGGAGAAGACTGGGCGTCCACTCCAGAAGCTTCTGGTCAGGTCAGGCAAGGAGGAAGCGAGCGTTGACTGAGTGTCTATTGCGTGCAAGGCTTGGTGCTCCTGCTTCCTCCCCGTGGCTCTGTGGAGGAGGAATCGGCATCCTCTATATACAAGTAGGAAGTTGAAGGTGTTCAGGGGTGGAAAAGAAAGTGGCAGAGTCACGAAAGGAAACCCAGGTGCTCAGATGCCCAGCAGGTAGGAAAGAGCCCCTCAGAGCAGGCCTGGGGTGGGAAGCGAAGTGATCTCCCCAGGGGCCAGGGCTCGGTCCTCTGCAGAGCAGGGCAGCAAGGTGACTGGGCTCCCCGCGGTGTCCTGTAGAGGCCCTGCCAAGCCATCGCATCGACAGTGGCTGCTGTCTGTTGAGGTTTGCTGGGTGTGGCAGCCCTGTCGCAAGTAACATGCAGTGCTTTCCTAGACGCACACACACAGACAGAAAGAGCCCCCATCTGCCGGTTCACTGCCCAGAGGTTGGCAAAGGCCAGGACTGAGCCAAGCCAAAGCCAGGAACCTGAAGCTCAATCCAGGTCTCCTGCATGGGTAGCAGGGGCTCAGCGACTTGAGCCGACATGCAGTAGGCGTGCAATGCCCACCACCTCCTTCTTTCACTGTTTGTCTCCATCTTGGAAGAGTGGCTCAGGCAGTGAGGCGAGGGAGACCTGAGGGACTGTGTGCCAAGTGCTAGGACCTGGAGCAGCCCCACCCCGCTTTTCCTGCAGGTCCTGGGGGCAGGGACTCGCGAGGGCCATCGTCAAGCCCGAGAGCCCCACTCCCGGATCTGTGGTCTCCTAGCGCCCTTCCCTGAATGCACTCACTCGGCTTGATCTGGGTGGGCAAAGGTTTTGCAGGGTGAGCCCTCTGGATTCTGCAACAGCTTTGTGACTCAGGAAAGTCAAAACTCGCTGCTGTAAGGGAGCCTCGGACGACCGGCACGGCCCGGTCCTAACCCTCGGTCTCGCCTCCTTGTCACAGCGCAGTGTGGGGGAGCAGTGGAGGAGATGGAGGGGGTCATCCTGAGCCCTGGCTTCCCAGGCAACTACCCCAGTAACATGGACTGCTCTTGGAAGATCGCACTGCCCGTGGGCTTTGGTAAGTCTCAGCCTGCTCGGGGAGATGGGCGCTCATGCCACGCCCCAGGCTGCAGCAGCTGTGTACTGCTGTCCGCACCGTAACCCCGGCCAAGTCTGCAGGGATTCTCCTCTGTGTCCTCGCCCACTGCCCCCTGTGCCATCGTGAGACTCCGTGGAGAACTGCAGATGAAAGTATGGGGGAGGAGAGAAATCTTAGGGACTTCTGTTATTATCCCTCGAGCAGGGAACTAAAATCCAAGAATGTGGAATGAGGAGTTACTCAGGGATGGTTAAAAAAGAAAAGAAATAATAATCTATGTTACAGAGACCAAACCTCAAGTTTTGCTTTGAACTCCCCATCCGATTTATCATCCTAATTAAATTGAGCCAAGGTCAATATGAAATTGAGTTTGCATTCTTCATGCACACATTCCAGCTGGCTGGAGATGGAGAGGTGGTTTTGAAGGGGGCAGGAAGGAAAGGGAGGAAGTGTGCCAGGCACGGGGGATGGTCCAGTAGGGAGGGCACTGAGCCGGTACAAAATCTGATGGCTGGCGATGCACGTATTCCCTGGGAATGTAATGCAACCCCAGACATATCTGTTTGGAGGAGTAAAGGCTTTGCACTGGCATGGATCCAAAGGGCTGCACATGGAGACCACCCTGCCCATACCATGGAGCTTCTGCATGGGCCCTGGTCTCCCAGCCCGCATCCCAGGAGGCTGAGGCATGAAGAGGGCCCCTTTTGTCCTTTGCTCTACAGTGTGAAGTGGGAGTGTGTTTTCAGGTTCCAGAATGGAGAAGCAGCCTGACTGGGCTTCTCTAAATCTGGTTGGCAGGGCAGTGAAGGTTGGGGTCTTAACGACCAGGTCCCATCTGCCAAAGGACACCGGGCACACCGTGATGACAGCTTTGGCAGCCCTGGGAGACTCCAGATCCTGAGACACTGAAAAAGGGGGTGTCTGGGAGACCCTGTAGACCTGCATGCAGGCTGGGGGCAGTGGAGCCTCCAATGATGGAGGGCGAGGAGAAGGCCGTATCTTGAGGCCAGTGAGTTCAGAAGGGAGGGCTGCTCTGGGTAAGCCGTTGTGTTCAGCCACCAGCGCGCTGCATCTGTAAGTCCTGGGGCCTTAAGCAAGCTCTGGGGAAGGCACTACTGTGGGCTCCAGTCGCAGCTGCCAGAATCCCTTGACTTCAAGCGAGTGTTGGACCACTCACCAGGCCTAGAATTATAGCCCCTGGTTTCCTTGTGTGAAGGGCCCCTGCACTTACAAGCTGCTGCCACTAGGTGGAGGTCGCAGGCCAGTCCTTTTCACACATTTCACAAATTCAGCCTTCAGTAGCCTCTTGGATGGCCCTCAGGGCCGCAGGGATCCTAGTGTGGGGATGGAAAGCACAGGCTCCGTGGGTGATAGGTTGTAAAGAGGCTCACTGCAAAACTACCTGCCATCTGTAACAGGGTCTGCTAAGAGCGACTTGTACCATCAGACACTCACAAGATGGAGTTAAAACGAATGAGTGCTAGTTTTTGTATATTAATACAGTGCCACGCATGTACGTGTTTAAAACCCAGAAACCCCAGTACATATTTCAGAATCTACACCCAGGAGCTGGAAGGATGCTTTCCAGACTCATGCAAGGGATAGTGTCTGTGGAGGGACGCAGTGGGGTGGGACAGGGCAGGAGACAGAGGGTCGTCAGCCTTGTACAGCAGGTACAACAGAGACTGGTACAGACTGTGGGTAATGTTGCAGTGATCTTCACACCTATCACGCACGCAGCCTGCGCTTTCCAGCCCCACACTGGGATCCGTACTTAATCAGAGACCAAAAAAAAAAAAAAAAGCCCACGCATGTGTTCATTCTGAACCAGATAGAAAGCAACAGATGAGCACATTTTAAGCATGACAGTTCCCCTGCGTGGGCACCCTGTGGATCCTCAGCGACATGCTGGTCCCCAGCGTTGGAGTCCTCCCGTGGAGGCGGTCCCTCCTGATCTCATTCACACACTCCGAAGCCTCGCACGGCCAGAAGGCCTGGCAGGGGCCTGGGAGCTGCTGTGAGCAAGCGGGTGAAGATTTTTTTCTAGGTTTTTGCATAAACATCCTAGTAGTATTCCGTATGTTACTTTGCAGCCAATTTTCACAATTAATGTATTATAGGTATCTTCCCATGCTCAGTAAATGGATCTCTTGAATAACGTGTTCCACGTAGTCTAATTTAGAAAAATCTCATCAGTAAACACAGTATAATATTCCCACCTCCAAAGAGTACATTCATTTGTACTTTAAGGGTCTAATTGGATCCATGTAAGCTGTCAGGTTGCTAAGTCTAGATTAACCCACTGAGACCCTGGGAGCACCTGCCTGGGACTTGGAAGGGAGTAGTTGGGGTAATGCATGTGCTGCTAAGCCTTATGCTTCTGGGTTGCCTTAAACAGCCTAGAAAATGTGACTGTTGGATGTATGTCTTCTGCCCTGGGGTGGGTGTTATTTTTAAGTAAAAAGTTTATTTAGGTGAAACTATCTTTCTACTGATATTAGATGAAGTCTAATCAGAGCAGGCGTTAACCCTGAGCTTTGTTCTCAAAACACAATACACTCGGGGCGGAGTCTCTGAAATGACCAGTGGCTTTCCTTTCGAATGAATAATGGACTCTCCAGTCGTGCCTGAAGACAGGATCCAGAGCGGGGAGTGAGGAGCGGGGATGCAGGCTGTGGCGGGAGAGGCCAGGCCAGGCGGCGGAGCAGGGCTGGGCTGCTCTGGGCACTGGCTGCCTTTGTCTTGCTCCCAGGAGCTCACATCCAGTTCCTGAACTTCTCCACCGAGCCCAACCACGACTTCATCGAAATCCGCAATGGCCCGTACGAGACCAGCCGGATGATGGGCCGGTTCAGCGGCAGCGAGCTGCCCAGCGCGCTGCTCTCCACGTCCCACGAGACCACGGTGTACTTCCACAGCGACCACTCCCAGAACCGGCCGGGGTTCAAGCTGGAGTACCAGGGTAAGGACGGACGTGCTGCGGGCTCCTTCCCAGCCCGCCTTCACGTGGGCAGGGGAGGTGGCAGGGAGGGGGCGGCAGGCCCCATGGTGGCTGCATGCCATGCCCTTGACCGCTTGTGCTCCCTGCAGCCTCTTCCAGAGGGGCAGCCTCCAGGGCTATACCCCGCGGCCAGCAGCTGTCCCCGGGCAAGCGGCCGGCCCGCCCTTCTCGCCACCTGTGCCATCAACCACTCCCCCCAGGGCCAGTGGTGGAATTCGTCCCTCTGGGTCCTCCCGTGGCAGCGTCAGGGGCTCTGTGAGAGTCTTGGGTGAGGCTCAGCCACCCTCACTGTGACTCTGCCTTGCCTGAGGGGAAACCCTTACAGGCCACTCCCCTCCCCCAACCCGGCCTCCACGTCCTCGTCTCCCTTGATGCACCCCTGGTGCTGCTGACTGATGAGCCCTCTGTGCTAAGCCCTTCACAGATTGTCCCACTGCCTCTCCGTCTTGTTTGTAGACACCTTTTCTGATACTAAACACATCCTTGTTAAAAAGGAGAGCACTGCAGATGGGTTCTGAGTGCATCGTGAGTCGGCTCGGGCTACTGTAGCAGAACTCCACGGGCTGGGGAGCTGACAGCTGTGCTTCTCCCCGCCCTGGGAGCTGGGAAACCTGCGGTCAGGCAGGGTCCTTGTGGGGGGGAGGACAGCGCTTGGTTCACAGGTGGCCCCTTCTTGCTGTGTCCTCTCTGACGGAAGGAGTAGAGCAGCTCTCTCTGGCCTTTATTATTATTATTATTAATTTGAAAGAGAGCGAGACAGAGGCAAAGAGAGAACTCCTGCCCACTGGCTCACTCCCTAAATGCCCCCACCAGCTGAGTCTGCACCAGGCTGAAGCCAGGAGCTCCGTGTGGGGCTCGCACGTGGGTGGCAGGGACCCAGGCACCTGAGCCATCACTGCGGCCCCCAGGGTGCACGTGAGCAGGAAACGGCTCAGAAGTAGAGTCTGGACGCAAACCCAGGCACCCAGGATGGGACGTGGGTGCCCCAAGTGGTGGCCCAGCCACTTCCCCCAGCGCCCACACCCAGGCCTCTTGTTTAAGGAAGCCAGTGCCACCCACCCTTCAAGGGCCCCTCCTCTAGACACCTCCATGTGAAAGAGGAGGCCGCAGTTACAGATTCTGATGGGACAGAAACGTTCAGGCCATAGCGATGTCACGGGAAGACAGAAGCCTGTGCGGAGATGCCGAATTCCAACGATGCAATATTTATTTTATTTGAAAGAGTTACAGAGAGGCAGACAGGAGAGAGTGAGAAAGAGAGAGAGAGAGACAGAGAGAGAGAGAGAAAGAGGTCTTCTATCCACTGGTTCACCCCCCAGCTGGCCGCAACAGCTGGAGCTATGCCCATCCAAAGCCAGGAGCCAGGAGCCTCTTCTGGGTCTCCCATGCGGGTGCAGGGGCCCAAGCACTTGAGCCATCTTCCACTGCTTTCCCAGGCCATAGCAGAGAGCTGGACCAGAAGTGGAGCAGCCGAGTCTCACAATGGTGCCCATATGGGATGCCGGCACTGCAGGCAGCAACTTTACCTGCTACACCACAGCGCCGGCCCCCCCACAGTGTTTTAAAGTGTGCACTGTGTTTGAAATCCTCTCCATACCCACCGCAGCATCTCCCTGCAGTACAAACCCACCTCATCTCCCGCAGGAGTCTCTCTTTGGGAAAGTCAAGGAGCCGCTGTCCTCAGGGTCATTTCTGTCCCCATAGGCCCCGCCTTTCCCTTGGAACCCAGACACCACCATCACTGATGTCACTGACACTGTCCCCTCTCTCTCAAAAGCCTGGCCCCTCTCCTTAAGGCCACACCTGGCTGTGGCAGGGGTCTGCCCGTGCCGCTGTGTACCACCCTGGGGCCACATGTTCCTGGGGAGGCGTCCTTTAAAGGCCCAGGCCATTCTGTTGCAGCCATTCCTCGAGCAACAGGCTCCCTGCTTCCACTGGGGTGCCCACCACCCACAGCCCTAACCCCCGACAGAGCCATGGCTCCCCTCGGGCCCTGTTCTTCAACACACCCAGCCAGCTGGGTGACTTCAGAGTGACACCTGCCGGGTTCTTGCCATACAGCCTGCCCTGGGCGACAGCGAGTGGAAGCAGCCCAGCTGCCTAGAGATGCAATCGTGTCTTTTAGTGGTGTCACTGCCTCTGATAGAGGCATCCCCTGCTGGGGGCCGCCATGTGGTCTCAGCTACATCCATGGAGAACCCTTACGGTGGGAGTGTCCCAGCTCCTTCTGCTGCTGGTGTTCTGTGCCCGATGCCTGCCGTGAAGGCTGCTCCTTGTCCTGTGGGCCCCGCTCTGCAGCTCTGTTGGTGGTGTCCCCAATAGGGGTGGCCTCGGCCATTTCACATCCTGGCGTCTCCTTTTGAGTCAGGGCTGCACATTCTCATGGTAACAGATCTCGGCTCCTCCGAGAGGCTGGCTGGAATGACAGGTGCACACCCCTGGTGGCCCAGCCGCCCCCTCTGACAACTGTCTCCTTGTCCCAGGTTCCCCTGCTTTCCTCCCTGAGAGCTTCTGAGTTCTCGGAGTCCGAAAGCCCTGTTCGCCCCACTGCTGCCTTTGCCTGTGGCCTTGGCCCTTGTTGTAAAGGTTAAATGCAGTGACCAACACGGAAGCTCCCAGGCCACTGCCTGGCCCCAGGAACTGCTCCGGAAACAGCAGTGGAATCTCGGTGGCTTCCCGAAGCGGAGCCTCCTTTCCCCGTGGAAATGCCGATGGTGGGGCACCTCAACGGAGCCCTCCCCATGAGCAGCTGCCGTGCCAAGAGCTGTGCAAGTGTTGCCCTGCGTATCCCCACAATAACCACTTTATAAGTAAGGAAACGGGGCACAGCAGTTGAATGACTCAGCCAGCATCCACAGCTTTTAGTAAATGACCAAGGTCCTCCCGAGTCCAAGTCTCAGTGCTTCCCCACTGTGCCAAGTCTCCGCAGCTCCTGCGTTCTGGCTGCAGGAAGATACTGGGGGAGGATGAAGTCACATTTTCTCCTGTACTCTCCTAGCCTATGAGCTTCAGGAGTGTCCAGACCCAGAGCCCTTCGCCAATGGCATCGTGAGGGGAGCCGGCTACAATGTGGGACAGTCCGTGACCTTCGAGTGCCTCCCGGGATATCAGCTGATGGGCCACCCCGTCCTCACGTGTCAGCATGGCACCAACCGGAACTGGGACCATCCCCTGCCCAGGTGTGAAGGTATGTCCCTCGCTCACCCTTGGCCACTCTCCCTGGGTGGTCACACCGTGTACCTGCCTGCTCCGGGGGTTCTCCAGTAGGTCCCATTCTCACGTGAGGGTAACCCAGGCTGGCCGAGGAGGGCGTCCTGGTGACAGAGCACTGGGCCAGCACCAGCAAAGACCTAGAGGGGGTGTAAGCTGGGGGCCCACTGAGGCAGCCCTTGGGAAGACCCGCCTGGACAGGCTAGATGTCCCCAGTTGGAAGGGAAGGCTCTACATAAGAGTGAAGGAGGCGAGTGCTGTGCTGAGTCCTGGGGAGGTTGAGAGAATCCTGGCACCTTCCCAAGGGAAGAGGAGAACGTAGCCTTTTCCTGACAACTTTCTTGCTCCTCTGGTCACTGTCCTGTGTCCCGCATGGGTCTGGAGCCAGCTGGTGGATTCCAGGGAGCTGTTGGCACTCTCTTGAGTTTTCTTCCTTAACCAGAACCTAGATGGAAGATGACACGGGGTCATGCCGCCTCTGCCCCGACCTGCACACCCCAGCCCCGTAGGCCCAGTGTTTTCCTAGAGGGGAGGCTGGGCAGGGCCAATACCCCAAAAGGGAGAGCTCAACCCTGGAATCAGATCACGGGCCTCCCCCTGCGCATCCCTGAACGCCCTGAACAACTGGGACCTCGCTGACGGCTCCCTCACCCTGGGGAGCGCTCAGCAGGAACTCTCCGTGGGAAGGAAGCTCTGCGTGCAGCCCTGGTTCTGGTGCTGGTGCCGGTACTAGAGGTGAAACGTCCACTGAGTTCCGGACTTCCAGAACCACCCTGTGCTTGCGCAGTGGATCGCTCCCGAGTTGCTGGTGGGTGGCGTGTCACGCCCTTCTCGCTCCTTGCGTGCCGTCTTCCGACACAGCTGTGAGAGAAGGGAGCAGTCTGCCCTCTTCCTTCTAGAGGCTTCTTCCCCTGGTTTCCTTGACACCAAAGTTGCTTCTCCAACCACCGTTCCGCCTCTGCCGCCTCTTGTGGTCATCTCATCCTTTGCCCCTTAAATGTTGTTCTGGACTTTCTTCCCTTCTCTTCTTTGCTCTCACCCACTTCCACGTCCCCCAGATGCCATCTCGATCTACAGTCCCTGGGCTGAGACTCCCCCTGCGTGAGGGGACTGCAGAAAGTTCAAAGTGCACGCAGTCAAGGGACCTTCTAAACGTTCTCAGAAAATACATCTCATGGAACACTGGGCGTGCCTCTCAGAATCTCTTTCCGCCGAAGTCAGCTTACCTTTCAATGCCACTTTCCATGAACTTTTCCAAGTGCCCTCGTCCGTGCAACGCTTCCTAAATACTTCCACTCCCTTCAGAGGCGTCTAGCGTCCCCGCATATTCAGAACGGACCTTCTCATCCTGGCCTCCACTAAGCTGAAATGCCTGCCTAGTGATGAGGACTCCGGCCGCTCGCCCCTTCGTTTGCTCACTCCCACATTCACCAAGTGCTGCCTCTGCATCCTAAGTGTCTGGCGAGTGCATCCGCTTCTTTCTCTCCACTGCCTCTACCTGAACCCAGGCCACCAAGGGTCTGACTTATCTCTGCTGGCTTCTTCCGTGGGCCAGCTTCACCCAACCCATTCTTAGGTTCCTCAGTGCTGGCTTCTCAATGCAGGGAGAGCAAGCCTTCAAAACCGCCGGTGTAGACTCCATTCCCTCACTCAGAGGTCAGCCTGGGCAGCTCCTTACTGCTTGGGGTAAATTCTAGAACCTGGGGGCAGCACACTGTGGGTCTCAGGACCTGGTGCCTGCCCACCTCTCGTCTCCGCTCTCACGGAGCCTGTTCCCTACTTGAGCTGAGATGCCCTCCATTTCCCCAATACACCAGGGCATCTTGCCTCTGGTTCTTGGCACCTGCTGCTCCTTCCTCTTATAAAAACCCACTCTGCCACCTTGCCACTTAGCCCTTGTCATCCCTCGGGGCTGCGTCTAGATGTGAGCTCTCCCAGGGACCCTTCCCTACGCTCACACACAGAGGAGAACCCCTCCAGAAGCCCTGGGACATTACGTACCCATGACCTGCCTCACCTTGCCTTTGCCTACTGCTGGGTGCATGGCTGGGTGGCAGTGAGCCTCCTGCTCCCCCCGTCCCTCCAGGCTGTGACTAGCCCCATGTGGGTACTCGGCACGTGTGTGTGTGTGTGTGTGTGTGGGTCCATGGCACCACTCTCAGGAACCCTGTCCTCTGCACTTTGCATGGAGGCAGCTGGGGTTCTTTCTGCCCAGTCCCATCTGCCCACCCTGGGTGTCTGCTTCACGCCCCGTCAGCCAAAGGCGCTCCTGACTCTGGACCAGGGAACTTGGGGGTTTTCTTGCCCAGCATCCCTGGTTATCCTCTCCCTGGTGACTGTGTCCCAACACTATGGGGCATTCAAGGCCTCTTCATCCCCCCGCCTAAAGCTCCATCAGAGTGAGCCCCAAAGTGGGTGTTGCTTTGGGAGAACAGGAAGATAAGGAGAGGAGGCCATGTCTATGTGGCAGGTGCAGGGCTGGGTGTTCCGCGCCCGTCCCTCGCCTCACAGCCACCACGGTCCTCTCGGGCCCATTTTCCAGGCGAGGAAACAGAAACTCAGACTGAAGCACTTGTGGGCGTCCTCGGGTGAATAGACGGCTCTGCTCTAATCTATCAGCTCGAAGTCAAATCCACCCGGGAAAGAGCAGATCAAAGAGCAATTTTCCTTTCCCAAATCGCTTCCTGACCTCTGCTTGTTCCCATCCTGGAAGGCAGAGGGGAAAGCTTGAGCCGGGTGCTTCCTGCTTAGGTCTCTTCCGTGCCAGAGAGAGAGGGAGGTGGAGGGAGGGGCAGGCCCACAGGGCACCTGACAGGTGGGGTCTCCCCGCCTCCCCAGCAGGGTGCTTTGTGCTGGGAGCTGGGATTTCGTGGGAAAGTCCAGTGCATTCTGGGTGCTCAACGAATGCTGTGCTGTCCCTCCACAGTTCCCTGCGGCGGGAACGTCACCTCCTTCAACGGCACTGTGTACTCCCCGGGGTACCCCCAGCCGTACGCCAGCTCCCAGGACTGCGTCTGGCTGATCACCGTGCCCATCGGTCATGGCGTCCGCCTCAACCTCAGCCTGCTGCAGACTGAGCCTTCCGGAGACTTCATCACCGTCTGGTAAGGCCAGGTGCCATGCGGCCAGCCCCTGCGAGAGGAGCATCTCGGGAGCTGTAAGCCGGGCTGCCCCTCCAAGCCAGAGCAGAACAGTTTCCGAGGGGGGCAGCCCCTGGGCTCCAAACAAACATTAGCCACTGGGACTCCTCACGGGGAGGGGCAGGGGAGGAGCGGCTCCCAGCTGGGCCACCTGCTGGGGCCAGGGAAAGCCCAGTGGGTGTATGGATGGAGTGGGCATGGGTACTTCTCTCAGCGTCTCCCCATGGTGCCTGTGCCCAGGAGAAGCTGCCCGGAATGATGGGGGCGGATTTGATGGAACCTGGGGAAGGCCCATTGGTCATCTCATGCTGATGCAGCCTTGCCCGGCACAAGTCCCGTTCACCATGCAGAGGCTCTCTAAGTGCGCCGCCCAGCGTGGCAGCCACGAGCCACAGGCAGCGATGGCGCACTTCGCTGTAAATGGAGTGACTCACGAGCTTATGGTTAAGCTTTACTTAAGTTTAATTCCCATGTGGCTGGTGGAGACTAAACTGGCCAGCCCACTGAGCAACAGTGATGTATCATGTGAGTTAACTTTATAATGAGGATATGAAATATTGGCTGATAAGTGCAACTTCTTAGGTTTTTTCAAACCGCTAGATCTTTGGACATACATGTAATTTTTTTATTAAGATTTATTTATTTTAAAGGCAGAGTTAGAGAGAGAGGGAGGGAGAGGTGGAGAGAGAGAGAGAGAGAGAGAGAGAGATCTTCCATCCACTGGTTCACTCCCCAGATGGCTGAAGCATCCGGAGCTGGGCTAGACTGAAGCCAGGAGCCAGGAGCTTCTTCTGGGTGCAGAGGCCCAAGCACTTGGGGCATCTTCCGCTGCTTTCCCAGGTGCATTAGCAGGGAGATGAATTGGAAGTGGAGCAGCTGGGACTCAACTGGTGCACATACGGGATGCTGGCATTGCAGGCGGCAGTTTTACCCACTACACCACGGCACTGGCCCCTACAGATGTAATTTTTAAATGTGTTTGTGTGGAAGTGACTGCCGCTAAGGAATTATCAGGGGATAGTGGGGTTCTCCCCTAGAAATCCCCAGGGCTGAGTAACTGTAACGGGACTGCCCTGAGTTGATTTCTAGCTTGGATTCCAAGCAATGGCTGCAGACGGTTGGGAGGCACTCAATGAGGTTCCAGGAAGCAGGTCATTTGCTCAGAAAGGCACCGTGGGTTTATATTGGGGGACAAGGAAATGGAGCTGCCGTGGAGAGCAGCAGAAGGGTCTCACAGCCATTCATGGCCCTGCCCTACCACTGCCTCAGACCACAGGCACCTGCGGCCCTGCCCCCTGGCACCTGCCTTGTCCCAGGAGCCCCCTGGGAGGCAGGGCTGCTGGAGACCAGGTGAACAGGAATCAACCTGAGGTTCTCCAATTCTGCCAACTCTGCTGGGAAACTGAGTCAGGAGAGTTTGTAGAAAGGTGTTTGGAAATAGCATTGGGTGCAAAAGGAGTCGAGCTCTGTCGCAAGGCCACCAATGGATGGGGCGGGGGCTGGGCACAAGCAGCAACGTGCCACTACCTTCTGTCCTCCACATAGGGATGGGCCACAGCAGACAGCGCCCCAGCTCGGAGTCTTCACCAGGACCTTGGCCAAGAAAATGATGCACAGCTCATCCAACCAGGTCCTGCTCAAGTTCCGCCATGAAGCGGCCACGGGCGGGATCTTCGCCATCGCCTTCTCGGGTCAGTATGGGCACCCGGCCTGGAGGGAAGGGCTCGACACTCAAGTGGAGCCTAGGCAGGACTCCTGGCTCCACCTCCCACAGGCTGTGTGACTTGGAGGCTCTCAGAGCCACCGTGTATCCCAGAGTTAGGAGAAGAGAACGTGTGGGTCCATGTGAGCCCTCCCCACACAGGGCTCCAACAGTGCAAGCTCCCCTCAAGCTCCCTTCCTCCTCACGCAACTGGGGCCGGGGGGCACAGGAGGCTGACCCTTGGTGCCAAGCCCTGGCTTTCCTGGATCCAGGCTGTGCTGCCTACTTCCCTGTGTCCCAGCTTGTCCCTGCGCACCTTCCAGAGGGCTGTCCAGGGCCTTTGCTGACCTCACAAGGAGAGAGTTTTTTTGGTTTTGGATCTTTGCACAAGTGAAGGTGTGGTGATTTCCAGAAGGAAGAGCATGAACTACTCATGGTGGGTTTGCCTTTGTTGGAAGCCTGTCTGCTTCTTAGAGTCCAGAGTTCTGGACCGGGACATTTCCCTGTTTTCTATCATAGCAGATAGTATAGGAGGTTCTCTGCAGGAGTGTGCCCGTCCATGGGGTGACGTACGTGCTTTGCAGTGGACAGAGCCTTGTGTATATTTGGTGTGGCCGTCAAGAAAGCTGGATTATTTTCCAGCCTCCACCGCAGCCCAGGCCTGTATGACTTTGTGTGACCTTCTCCCACTCGAGCCCCTTGGCTCTTCATCTGTGGGGTGAAAGGCTTGGAGTTTTCAACCTCTCAGAGTACAGTGAGTTAGTGAGGTGCAAATCATCACCTCCATTTCACAGAGGAGGAAAGCGGGGCAGAGGAAGGTTCCGGAAGGTGACCTGAATGGTTGTGGATAGAATTAGGAAGCGCGCTCCACCCTCTCCGTTCTGCAGTGGCTGCTCTGGTGTGACCTACAGTGTTAGTACCTTTTGCATGCATCTATTGGAACTCGAATGCATTCAGCCCTAAGCCCATGGAAGAGGTAGCAATACCACAACACAGGAAGAGAGGATCAACAATGTGAAGACCATAGGCGGGTCTGGCCGCCACTCCCAGGAGCTGTGGCCCAGGGCAAGTGCAGCATGGAGCTGGAACCCGGCCTCAGCTTCCCTGCCCCTCCTCCTGGGCACCCCCGTCACCCTCATGATGGAACCTGGGCTTTGGAACAATTCCTTTTGGCTTCCTGTGACTTTCCTGCAGAGTGGACAGGTGGATTCAGACCTTGACTCTGCCACACGTGAGCTCCTGCCTTTAAGTCTTTCCTTTCATGTTTCTGAGTCTCAGTTTCATTATCTACATATCTGTGTTTTTAAGTATTTTTTTACTTTATTTGAAATTCAGAAGGAGAGACGGCAGACAATAGACAGAGACTAAGCTCTTGGCCTCTAGTTCTCTCCTGAAATGCCCACAATGTGGCCCAGGAACCAGGAACTCCGTCTGGGTCTCCACTGTTAGTGGCAGGGACCCAAGCACTTGGGCCCTCACCTGCTGCCTCCCAGGGTGCACATTAGCAGGAAGCTGGAGTCAGGAGCAGAGCTGAGACTTGATGCAAGCACTCCATACAATGCGGGGTGTGGCTGCCCCAAGCGGCATCTTTACCACCAGCCCAAACTCCCACCCCAGGGTCAGTGTTTAACCTCACACAGTTACGTAAATAACGCATGGGCACCCTTAGCTTCAGGCACAGAGTGTAAAAGGCACTAAGTAAATGACAGCTTCAGCAGCCACCACCATCACAAATAGTATTCTGCTGATGCAGCGACAGGCTCAGTGTGAAGTTGCCTTGGTGCTAGCCAGTGTTCTTCTTCCCGCACCTGAGCCCTCACCTATGCCGGGACCTGGTCAAGGAGGCTCCACACAGCTGTGGCCATCCTTGTCCACACTCCCCTACGTAAGTGTCTCCATCAGACCAGCCTGTCTCTGGACATGACCTGGGCACAGTGCCCCTTCTGCCTCTCCAGTAGGTGTGAGGCCTTTGCTATGGCCTGAAAGTGCGTGTCCTCCCCCACCCAAAAAAAACCCATGTGTTAAATTTTTGACCCCCATGATGCTAGTGTTAGGAGGTGGGGCCCTGGCAGGGTGGCAGATGGGACTAGTGCTCTTCCAAAAGAGAACCAGGAAGCTAACTCAATGTGACAAGACAGCTGTCCGTGAACCTGACCCGAATTGGCTAACGCTCAGTTTTTGGACTTGACTTCACAGCCCCCAGAATTGTGGAAGTACACTCGATTGTCCGTGGGTCACCTGGTGTCTGGAAAGCTTTTATAGCAACCCTAAGAGATGAAGCCCTTAAGTGGCAGCTCAAGCCATAGTCCAACAGCTCAGTGGCTGAGGGAGCAGGCAAGGGCCTGGGGCAAGAAAGAAGCTACTACTGTGCCCAGGCCAGGCCAGCAGGCTCCACAGGGAGAGGCCGATGAGAGGCCAAGAGAAGCCCATCCCGTGGCTCAGTTGTGGAATGTCTCATGCATATAGAAAGCTCAGGTCACATGGATGTTAATGGAAGGGACACCCTCACCAAGCCCAGTGTTAAGACCACCTGGGCCTGGAAGCTCTTGTCCCTTCCTCCCCTGCCCCAGAGCTAACCAGGAAATGGAGCTCTGATTATCACTCGCTACTTATGTTTCTAATTTTATGCCACGTCTGTCTCATGACACACATGCTCTTCATGTTTCATGTCATTCCCGTCCTGTGACCTGACTTCATCACCCAGAGTTAGGTTTTGAAACTTCTGCTGATACCTGTCACCATCCCGGGTTCATTTGTCGAGGCTGTGTCGTATTCCATGGCGCAGAAACACAGCAGGTTATCCTGTCTGCTGTCACCGAGCACTCAGTTAGCGAGGTCCACACGGTACGGACGTGGTTGTAGGTCCCTCCCGGTGAGCGTGCATGGGAGCCTGACTAGCTCCAGGCCTGTGCAGAACTGTGAGGCCGTGCCCGTCCACGCAGTCGGGTCTCTGGGAAATGCCCAGTCTGTCTGACGACATTGGACACTCTTTCCAGAACCTGAGGACGAGCTCTCGGCGCTCGACATCCTTGCAACCACAGGGTCTTATTGAACATCCAGCGGATTGACGAAACCGCCTTCCACTGTGTGCTAAAGAGGAGGAGCATCTTTTCATGTCCTTGTTAACTGCTCCTCACTTCCCGCCTAGCAGCGCACCTGCTCCCCATACTGCTCTCTTCCTCCGTGGACAGAGAGATGAAAAACAAGAAAGCAGACAAATACGATCTTTGTAATTTATAATAAGGGCCAAGAAAGAAACAGATAAGAGGCGAGGATATCCGCCTTGCGGCGCCGGCACACCAGGTTCTAGTCCCGGTCGGGGCACCGGATTCTGTCCCAGTTGCCCCTCTTCCAGGCCAGCTCTCTGCTGTGGCCAGGGAGTGCAGTGGAGGATGGCCCGAGTGCTTGGGCCCTGCACCCCATGGGAGACCAGGAGAAGTACCTGGCTCCTGCTGGATCAGTGCAGTGTGCTGGCCGCAGCACACTGGCTGCGGCGGCCATTGGAGGGTGAACCAACGGCAAAAAGGAAGACCTTTCTCTCTGTCTCTCTCTCTCACTGTCCACTCTGCCTGTCAAAAAAAAGAAAAGAAAAAAAAAAAGAGGCGAGGATAGTGAACTGAAAGGTGGAGAATGCTGTTTTGTGGAGAATCCTTGTGGAAAACATAAGCAGTGGTATTTGAGGCAAGAACAAAAGCAAGAAGTAGGCTTGCAAAAGTGCAGAGGAGGAGGAGGGTGGGAGGCCAGCGTGTCTGCCCATCTGCAGGCAAACATTAGCCCTAAGTGACTTCATTTCCTGTCAGGATCACTAAGCAGAGAGGAGAAGTACCTGAAGGAAACCTCTGAAAAGATCCTGTGATTTTTTTTTAGTGGGAAAATAAGACCTGACCTGCAAAGAAAAGCTCTTGAAGACATATATAGAGTTTCGGAACTAGAAGTAGACTTTGGAAGGCACCTTCTTCCAGCCTAAGAGTGTAGATCACGTGAATTCAAACAAAAGGCAGCGATGCAGAGAGAGGCATGCCAGAGAAACTTCCCTTCCCTTCCTGCGCACTCCAGTCCTGACGCCATCATATCGGAGACAGCAAAGTCAAATGAGAGACAGGAGCCACTGTGGCCCAGGCCGCGGTGCCGGAAGGGAGCAGAGGGTCCGTGCCGAGGGGCTGCCTGGCCTGGGGGTTGGTGCTCATGAGGACTGAGAAGCTGTCTGTACAGGGAGGGGGCTTGTGTGTGGTGCAGAGCTCTGAGCAAAGGGGGCAGACCTCTGTATAGGGCACTGGAGCCCACCGGAGTGGGGAGGGCACCCCCACAGTGGGTTGGCTGGCGGGGGAGTCACAGTGCAGGCAGGGTGAGGAGGGAAGGGGGAGGGAGAGATGGAAACTTGGTTCCACAGCAGTGAGTGAGAAATGAAGTTACCAAGGCAAGGGCCACAGAGGGCAGCTTTCTGATGTCAGAGAGCAGGGGGACAGGCAGGGAGGGGACAACAGGGTTCTCCAGTCATGCTGGCTTTGAACGGGACTCATGGTGTGAACACTTGGTTTTCACTGTGTAAACAGTGCACATGTGCATACATGTGTGTGTGTGTGTGAGTGTGAGTGTGTGTGCATCCATGCGTGCCTAGCTCTTCCCAGTGAATGGGTCTCAGAGCAGTGACTCAACACCAGTATGCACATCTAGACCAGATTTTGGTGTCTAAATTGCATTTTCCACAAAAATCAACCAGGGCCCCTTGAAGAAGTGGCTGGGGCACAGGAAAGTTCAAGACAAGACAGAAGCATCTTTTGGTAGAAAGTAGGGAAATGGCCGGCGCCGTGGCTCAATAGGCTAATCCTCCACCTTGCGGCGCCGGCACACCGGGTTCTAGTCCCGGTCGGGGCGCCGGATTCTGTCCCGGTTGCCCCTCTTCCAGGCCAGCTCTCTGCTATGGCCAGGGAGTGCAGTGGAGGATGGCCCAGGTGCTTGGGCCCTGCACCCCATGGGAGACCAGGAAAA